TAGTTTCTTGAAAACATCTCCCCTACTCCGTCTCCTCTCTCTCTGTATCCTCTCCCTTTTTTTCCCCTGCCCAAGAAAGATTGGCTGCCGGACAGGATGCGGCGGAAGTTTATAGGAAGACCGCACCAGTGTCTGCTAATCCATTTACGGCCTTGTTTTATTAGATAGAGTCCTTCATTTCAGATCATATACGTGACCTTCAAGGAATGGATGTGGTGGCAGGGAAACGGCAAAGCTGCTTAGGCTAATAATTCCCCTGTGTATGCAAAAAAAAAAAAAAAAAAAATGACGAACGAAGTACAGTGAACGTGAAGCACGCAATGTTTCGATTAGCGTGTCGGATTTTGAAGCCGTGTCCATTACCGGACATCGTATTCAAAACAGACCAATGCACCAGGTGGCCTTTGAAATTTGACATTATACCAACGGGCAACGGACGAGCAACCGAAATATTTAAGCATGTTTTGCACGTTATTTTGCCCACATTCAGTTGTTTATATCACCACTTTTACACCGATCACAATGTCACGAGATACACAGTGCAGTGCAAAAGAGAACAGTGTGCTGAAAGTATCATGTGACCAAAACATCCAATATGCAAACAAATGTCACATGGTCTACAGGTTACAACTATTGCCCTCTTTTCGTCAATTAAACACCCCACCCTCTCCAAAAAAATCCTTCCTTTTTGGTTGTTTTCGGCTGTGATTAAAGACGGGGTTCAAACATTTAGCTTTCACGACCACGGTGCATTTTCACGCCCTGCGATCAATCCGGCCATCACCAAATTCGCTGCGACGTCTGCGCATGCCCCGCGGCAATAGCGCCCCCAACGCCGGCCGCGTGGCGGGAATCAGCCGATCCTGTTGAGATGTAATCTTCGTGTTGTGATTGTCGCTGTGTTTGTCCTATCGGCCCTGTGCGGTATATTATAAAGCCGGCAGAACAAAATCCAAAATTTTGGCAGGCTCGTCGGAGCGTTAAGCCGCTCACGAAATCACAACACTCGCTTCGCACAAAAGGCTCGGCGAGTCGCCGAGGCAGGATTAACATGAAAACTCGCCACGATTGACCCACTAAAACTTGACCTCGTAGCTATGTGTGACGCAATGCTTTCATCTTTCAAAAACAAACAAACAAAAACCAAAAAAAAGATTTATGAAGCTAACGCACATTTGAAATAAACCATGAAATTCGCATTTTCGGGTGAGATTTAATTATGTCGATGTTTTCACTGTCATTAGCGTTAGGATTAGGGCTAGGATTTGTTCCAAACCACTGTCATTTGGCACACACAAAAAGAGAAATAGTTATGAAAGCAAACTTTAAGGCATATAGGGTCATTTGCTTTTCATGCATTTTGTTCGTTTCCAATAATAACGCCACTCAAAATCCAAAGAAGAATGTTCAAAACCTAAACCTGCAGAAGTTTCAGCTCATCTCAATGTATATTACTCTTTTGAGAAAAACAGGTGAAAAGTCAACTATGCACAACCTTTTGATCACGAAACGCGATTTCGTCCATTGCACTTTATGTCCCAAAACAGTCAATTGACTGATCATTGGAAATCACCTGTAATTCTTGATTTCTTTCAAATGACAGCAAGCCAGACGGAATTATTTCATGGGGTATTTAGTACCACTATACGATCTTGAATCCAAGTATAAGGTTTCATTCGAAAGGTTACTTTTGGGGAAAATGCAAATGATACCTTGAATATTCTTCGTCACGCTAGGCAGGGCGCTATATTTCAAGCTGGCTTGAACGTTGGAAATTCGGAAAAGTTAGCGCTGCAACTTACAAGAACGATGGCCTCTATAATTCTCCCTTTTATGATAAAATGCTCTTACTATGTTTTGGAATCGATCTTGCTCACCCAAACAAGGACAACGTTCATAACAGCCGTGAAAAAGTGCATCCAACTTTCAAAATCGATTGTACAAAAAGCCGAGTGTCCAATTAAGTGCACTGGTTTCAACTTGAAATGTTCGTTTCTTTAAAGTGACGAAATCCTTCACTTGCAAAGTGACAGGGATACATTTTTATTTTCAGAAACAAAAATGATTGTGCGGGGAATTATTGTCGACGTGGCGTGACTTGCAACGTTGCAAGTGAGTGCGTTTACCGGTAAACGACCCGAAGTCCAGATTGCATCAGAGTCCAAAACTTGTCACTTGAAGTTCGGAGGAGCACACCGAGGGGAAATTCTCACACTTTCAAACCGAGCAGGCAGTCCACACATAAAAATAAAGAAAGTACAACTAAACCAGATTTTTCCTGCTCACCGGTGGAGAAAAAAAAACGGCACCGTGTTTACTTGGCCATCGATCATCGACAGCAACCGGCGCACAAAAGCTCGGATTCAGTTCGAAAATAGTCCATTCTGCGCAAGGTGGTTACCCTCCCTTTTGTCCGGCCTTCACCGATATCCCAGAGTAGGTATTTTTTTTTCGGCAACCAATTTTACACTTAGGGCCCCCTCTATTAAAGCGACTTTGTCCCCGCCAAATGAAAAATATCCGGGCTTTGTTGGCGTGGGCCCACAATGGGTTGTTGACTGGTTCAAATTGTTTTCGTCATCTTTGAACCGTGACGTTGCATGGGATGGGGATAATACCGGGCCCGTCTGTGCCGACAATCGGCCCGGGTGATTGCACTATGGTTGTCCGGTGGGGGTGTCGTTTGGTTCCCTCGGTGTCATTCAACCCTCTACCTCGGACGACTGAACCCCCCCCCCCCCTAAAAGAAATAGGGGTTATAGGTTGCAGGTTCGATTACCCCTTGACAAAGTGCGAAGTCACGGTGATCAATAAAAGCTATCAATAATCAATCATTGAGTCTGACAGTAAGTAAGTGTTGGTTTGATTCCCAGATATAAATGAAGCAACATAATCATGAAACTTGATGTGGTACTTGTCAATCAAAACAAACAAACAAACACCCCAAAAACAAATAAACAAACACCCCAACAAACAACAAACAACCAAAACAATACACAACATAAACAGGCAACCAATTAAAAAAAAAAATCTCTTCAGCGCCAAACCCCTCCTCTTTAAAAAATTAATCACAAGTTAACAGCCGTCACCAATTCGAGATCCATTGTTGGTACCGCAACCCTAATTTTGTTACTTTTTGAATAAGTATGAGGAGAAATAGTCTGTTTTGGGCACAGAAATCATTTACAACCATTCAGACCCATGCAAATCAAGAATAAGGGGGAAATGTATGGGTTTGTGTTGTGCTTTCGTCACTTGATGAGCGGTCGTGTTTAAATTAGTTCTTGTATCTTTCCTGTCATAAAATGTTTTACCAAAGAATAAAACATTTGGACACCTGTGCATGTATATTATACACTGCAAAAATTGCAGTGTTAAATTTACACCATTGGTATCTATATAGGACCATTTGGTGTTAAATTTGACTGGTGTTGTCCTATATAGATACTGAATGGTGTTAAATTAACACTACAGTTTTTGCAGTGTAGATGCTCATTACTTTGCTCTGTTGAGATGTCTTTAACAAACCCAGATTGGTTATTAACAACTGTGGATTTTTTTCCATATACAAAATAGTTTCATTTTGATAAAACTTCGCAGAGGAATGTGCTATAGTATGCACTCTGTGCGACCTATATTGAACCTTAAACAGAGACCAAAAATCCAATCACTCACGACAGACTTTACAGAAAAAAGTGTTTTTCCGCAAATTCTTATATTTTTTTTTTTCCAACGGAACGGTGTAGGTTGATCAAGGGGCACCAGAGGTCCCATCCAATCAAAAGGGAACAAAAGCTCTCCGCGACTTACGAAGCAACGTGTTTTGTTCCCTATCACGCCCGCAGAAAATGCACTTTTTGACGGCCAATCAAGCCCAGCGCCCGCTCCCCCTCGCCAATGCTTGTCTCCGTCATGTTCGTCAAACAAGCCAATATAACAATCCGGGGAAATTAGTTACAACACCGCTTCCGCGAGTACGAACAAATAATGACACCAGAATTATAATCCCCAAAAGCTATTGTCACGGCGGCTGACTTTGTATTTTTTGTATTATTATTTCCCCCCCCCCTTTTTTCAAATCCCGCTTCCCATAGCTTATTCAGTAACAGAAGGCACTTTCGTAACCACGGACCGTTAGTTGAATCTGGACGTGTTTACGAGCTGCGCCACAAAATGAAAAGATGCTGTCACCATACCAAAGCTACTTTTTGTCACAAGTCATTCCCTGAATGGAAGGCAATTTCACCAGCCGTTTGGCAGGTATTCGTCAAGGGCTGTGACCCCACTGAAAAGTGCCCTAAGCGTCACCGCTGCAGACGAGCGCATTGCTCGAACCATAGCTAGAACCACGCGCCAGCACTGCACTAAACTTTACCTGGTCCCTCCGTGTATCACCGTACCGCACATACCGGCTTTTTTGGCTATAAATTGTGCTTTCATTGACCGTGTTTCCAGCGTGCGATACCGGGGCTTGTGTTTTTCCAAACCATGGCCTCGCAGTTCCAGTTCAGTTCAACCCGCTTTGACACAAACCCCACCGCTGCAGGGAACTTCTCTTTCACGAACTCCACCCAACTGGCGCAAGATCGCTCCTGTAGATAAGACCGCGTGCTTTTTTTTTCTGTGCCACTTTTTTATATTTATAATACCGGCTTTATTTTATTTCCCCCTCTGTAATACCTTCGGCTACGCAGATCGAAGCAGCTGCATGCATTCTTGTTGTCACAAACGCAAAAACAGGAAGCCGGGAAAAATTGAGTCCATATTTGCTGTTTTAGCCGAAACACCGCAGCAGTACGGTCTCGGTCTGATAACGTGAAATCTATACGGTCTTAAACTCCCGCCTTTTTTGAACTTATCGTCTGCTTCTGGTCAAAGTGTTGAACCGGTAGTCTGCGCAACTTTTGCGTCGGTCGCCCCTGAACGTGGATAAAAGACAATCCAAGTGTTAATTAGTATGCTTCAACACACCGACATGGAGTTTTTGTGCGTTTATCCAGGTGACGTGGACCTGAAAGACGACGACAGTGAGGAGGCACAGGCTAGACTGAGACTCAAGCGGAAACTCCAAAGAAACAGAACTTCCTTCACGGCCCAACAAATTGAGGAACTTGAAAAAGGTAGGTTTGTACACCTTCTTTCCCCTTCAAAAACTCTATTCCTTAACCCCCCAAATGAACCTTTTAAAAATGTATCTCATTATTCATGTCATACACAAAATTTGTAACATCAGATGGTTTTGTTTTGACTGCATGTTAATCTTAATGACTTTATAATTCAGCTACTTTAAAAACAAAATAAAAGTAACCATTAAAACTCTATTTACTTAATATTCTCCTTACTTGGTACATTATTTGCAGACTATCTGCAGTCCATGAGAAATACAATCATTGATTTTATTTTCAGTTGTTAATGTCTCTGCCTAATCTCATGAAACACATTCGTTAGTTTAATTCTCTAATTTTAATTCATCATGTAAAATTAGGTATGGTGTTAAAAAAAAGGCCGTTACTTGCTGGATGGATAATTGCATTTTGTTTTAATTCAAAATGCAATCGCATGATCAATTTTTGTCAACATTTTACCCAATAACATTCCATATTGATCATTGTTCACTAATCAAAGAAAAACAAGCATTTTGCAATTCTCACTGAAAAGCAGTTTCGTCACTGGATTGCCTCGTATTCTACTACTGTCCATAATTGAAAAGAAATCACTGTTATTATCATTTTAAAAAGCAGAGAATTCGAAATGCATAGATGGTATTTGAGAGTGTCGTTCCAGTTTCACAACCTTTTAAAACCAAGAGGTAAACTGCTGCGAATTAAACAAATGAAAAAGCACAAGTTTATGAGCACTTTATTACGGAACCAACTTTGTCTGAAAGTGTCCGAGTCTGAAAGTTTCCGTGGCAGCATGTCACCGTGAATTCGGAACCAGTGGACCGGGGCTAAGAGGTGCGTTTCCCGGCCCGGTCAACCAGACAAACCCGCTTCGCCGAAAAGTCACTCGTGGTAGTTAGAAAATTAGTTAGAATAGTTTTGTGTGTGTTTTGTTAAAAGATAGGGCTGTTTTTAAATATTTAGATCTGCATTTGTTTCAGGCGAAAAGATCAAATTGTGCAATCTAAAATTACGAATTTAATTCGCTGATCACCCGTGGGAGAGCAAAATCATGGCCAAACTTTTTTTTGGAGGGAAACAAATTTCAACCAGCTATAAATTTTATGGCAACCAAGTTTGTCCACTTCGTAGATTGGCTATTTTTTTTTGCATTTCGATGAGACTACAGAAGCCTCGTAGACTGATACGTTGTGTTTTTTTCCATTCGTCTTTAATCCTATTATGTCTGTTTACTCCCCACTGCAAAAATTGTATCTAGCAATTAAACCCCATCTAAACACTTTCTTGCTATCAGTTTGTAAACATGTTTAAATACTAAACATGCTTAGAACTTAAGAGTATTGATGGATAGCGTTTAGCAAGTGAACATTGATGTTTAGGAATAGGACACGTGATGTTTAGATTCGAAACAAAATGAGAGGAAGATGTGTTATTGACAAACAGTTTTAGAGTGCCCGCCAAACTTAACACCTTGCTATGAAGGTATTGTCGATATCTTTTAGACGTAAATGAATTGAGTTGCTCACTCAAAATTCAAAGTTGGAGGGGAAACTTTACAACGTGACAACGATGTTCGAATTAAAAAGCCATCTTCTCTTTTTGATTAAAAAATGTTTCGCCTCAAAATTTCGCCTTTTTTTTTTACCAGGAAGGAATGATCCTGCACTGTATACGATTCTTACGGGCAACGAAATACGTATCTGTTCACTATGATGTATCCGTCCACTATGATGTATCCGTCCAACTGAAATTAATTAATTTAATGGGGGAAAAATACTGTTAAGGAAAACACAATAAGGCAACAGGCGACATGCATTTGGTTCTGTTAAGAATGATTATCATTGTCATTATATCGATGATATAAGAGCCAAACGTGCTGTTATTTTGCCGACGGTCATAAAATTACCTCTTGGAAAAAAAATACAGTACCGCCCGTATTTAACTACCCGCTAACTCAATAAGAGACAATGTGCGAGTGGAATTTCGTTAACTCGCTCCAACGCACGCACACAAGGAGAAATGCCGAGAAAGCACGCGGATTCAATTTGCGAAGATGGCGGGTGCGGTGCTTAGATATGACCAATTGTGTTTCCTGAAGGCCATAGACCAGAAAATGAAGATACACTGTTTCAGAATTAACAAAATATTACAACCGGGGCATATTGAATGTTACAATTTGCGAAATAGAATTTAAAGTTAGTCATTAAGTTCCGGTTCGAATTTTCTTTAATTTGATATTATTTTCATCTTGTTTTATATTTTGGAGGTGCATTTTTTTTGGGGGGGGGTAAATTGCGAAACTTGCGATTCGATTAAAGCAGTGAACAAAAGTGCGGGACAAAAATGTTTGTTTTTTTTCATCTTCGGCATTGTTGCATCCTTCAGAGGAATTATTAACTAAAGGTGTTAACGTCTGAACTTGGACGACATCTTTAAAGATGTGGGTCTTATTTTTCCCTTTCCGTGCGATTGCATGGTTACATTTTACTAATTTACTTCGGTGTGTGTTTTGATCGGGTGCATACCTATATGTTCTCCAATACCTATGTTCCCAGCCCTAAGCCTAACCCTAACCCTAAGAATTTTGGGGAACATAGGTATTGGGGAACATAAGTATTTGGGAGAATCGGGTAGACCCCGTTTTGATCTAGGTCAAAATAATGCTCGTAAGCCAGCATGGTGAATGGCAAATGGAAGAAAATGTCTGACTGGAATAAATGACCGCAACCATGAAGTCTGCCTTGTACAAAAGCAGTGCGGTAATAGGCTTTAGTTTTGCGAATGCAAAATAATAGCGCATTGGAATCGTGTGTACACTCAAAAGACCGCCATTCATTTCCCGTATGTGGATAATCTGACCCAAATAAATTTCAAAACATCATTGTTTGCCGAATGTCACAATACACCGCTTTGAGCCAAAACACAAAAACATAACGACTGCAGTCTATCACATGTGCCCATTAACAATGATCACTTTTTCAATCATCCGCTTCACAATATTCTCTAAGCACAAATTAATTTGCCCTTGCCGTAGCGACATTTATCATAACCAAAAAAAAATCGTTATTGTAATGTTTTCCACCGAGAATAGTATGTGCATGTTCCTCCTATGAGCCTGTGTGTTATATTAAATTTAGCACATTTCTAGATACATATTTGGACGTGTGTGAATTGTGCCGTTGTATTATCTACGATGGTAGTGAGATATTGTTTGAATTAAAACGTGATATAGATTATGAAAATCATTTGAGCAAAATGTGTACACTAAATACCACTATTCTGTATCAAAACACTTGAATGAATAATGGTGTTTCAAACATATAGCCCTTTTTGTAACCACTTCTCGAATGTTTAGTCAAAGACATTTTTGTACGGTTTGAATAAGGGAATAAATGTGTGCTTGGCAGGTTTTAAACACTCTGTTTAAGACTGGTTGGTGTCTGGATGCATGCAGACTCCAACTGGTCTCGTCCAACTGAGCTTTTCTTTTTCTGAGACAGATAACAAAGAGATCAAAGAGTGAAGTGCGTACCTACCCTGTCTTTCGACTTGTATCCCATATTCATGGTATTAAATTTAGTATTGCTGCCATAGGGCGACAGATGTCTCAAGTGTCGTCTGGATTAGGGCGACATGCTGCATTGGGGCGACATTTTCATTTGGTGTCGCCCTATTGTTGAAACAACCCTTATGACAATGAATTTTACTGTTGCGACCCATCCAGATAGTTTCCTCCTCGTCCAATTAACCTAAATACCGAATTTCGTGCAAAAAGGATTAGGTAAACTTGGGTTAGGCGACAGTTTAGGTTTGTGCACAGGTCTATGGGAAAGTCGCCCTATTATAGCATGTATGAGAATTGTTATTATTTTTACAAGTTGTACTTGAAAGTACTATTTTTTTGAATTGTGTAACATTTATTTCAATCTTGCAGTTCTTTACAATATGTACAAACATGTATACATAATATTTGATATGTACTCAGTGATTAATAATAAAGTAGCGAATTAAATGACAACATTTAGGTATAAGGTTAAGCAACACGCCTTTGTGCCCTTAAATATGGTCAGACAAAGTTACTTACGACCAAGGTACCGTAACATAGAAATAGGACAAACAAATACATATACAACGTGAGACAGACAGGACAATTGTGCGATAAGGTCTAATGATTAGTTTTTAAAAACTACACCTTAATTTATGAATATGAGTCGAGGAAGCGAGTTTTTAAATTGTTCACAAAGACAAACAGTGAGGGTAAGATTTATCTAAACTATTTCATCTAATCTCTAAGTACATCAGGTATTATATACATGAATGTTAGATGTTAAGGTGAAACAAGAATTGAAACGTGGGGAGTAGATTATGCATAAGTTTATACATGAATTTTCCAAGATTAAGGTGGTATAAGTCATTACATTGTAGAACATTTAATTTAGCAAATAATGGAGCAGAATGATCACCTTCTCGTTGTATACCTTAACACGTCAAAGACATTCAAAAATATAAACGTGGTAGATTCACGTGAAAAAAGTGAGTAAAATGAAGTATTTATAAATGTGCTTAAAGTCTATTTTGTTTACATATATTACCGAAGCTACATGATTGTCACACATCTGTAGTATACGGTTAACACACTTCCGTAGTGCTATCTCGTAGTATACCTAAAACGTCAAAAATATAGACATGGTAGATTTATGTGAAAAAGTTAGTTCAATGGAGTATTTAAAAATGTGCTTAAACTCTATTTTTTTGTACAGATAGACGCCACAGCTACACGAATAACATACTTCTGCTCATATCATTTCCCTGCTCGTATAATTGTCCTGCCCGGGGGTCTAGCAGCAATCACTGGGAACGCCGCCCCGTATGAGTAATGACGTCGATAATATAACTGAATTCACTGTAATTTTGTATTACAATGCCAGAACAAAATACTCAAATCGCAAATTGACTGGCGTTCTTCACACATTTCTTGTCCGTTTATTGCGTCCATT